GCTAAGAAATCAAGTAAGACACTTTAAAAACCACGTCATTTGAGTGAAAACCACGGCTAGCCAAGTTTATGCCGTTTTGAATGATTTTTGTCAAACGACCAAAAGCGAAAGATGGTTTTCAAGGTGTTTTTGTTGGAGGACCGTTTAAACATGCCAAAGAGTGAAAACCAATCATAAAAAGTTGAAAACCACTTGGTTGGTTCGGATGCCAAAAACCATAGCCGATAACCGAGAGCCGAACGCCGGTTTTTGAAAAACCGAACGCTGGGTGGCTTGGTTTTTTGTTTAGGCGAACACCAAGTGTTTTTAATGACTTAGACATGTTTAAAAAAACATTTTTATGATTTAAGAAATGCAATGAAAGATTTTAGCCTAAAGAGCCAAGGTGTAGAGATTGGGTCGGTCTTGATCACAATGAAGACCGACTCACGACACTAAAACTAAGGTCTTCGTTCTTGGTCTTCTTTTAGCTCTTGTTCTTGTCTTCCTTCTTCGCCTTGTATATTCAAAGTTTGACTTGATCACGGCGGTTTGGCATTATCAAAACCTGTCATAAGAACAAACACGGCTTTAGTACGAAAACGTGACATGCCCGTGTTTCAACACCTTGAAGAGTCACCCTTCTTCATGGTTCAAGCTCCCATCTTTGCTCCCCAATTTTCTAAACCCGAACTACCTTCCTTTCAAACTACTGAAACCATGCAGCCCACTACTCCAAGGATCATTTGGGATGAATATGATGACGAGGACAATGATGAAGAACTTCTCAAAGAGAATGAAGAAGTGTTTGAAGACGCAGAGGATAACCCATTTTGGGTTACAGAGATAAAAGAAGAAGAGCAAGAAGAGAAGACCCACGAAGAAGTCGTCAATCCTATTGCGGAACCCTCCGCTCGAGGCCTATCTTCGTTAACGGTACTTCGTACCAAACGTGTTGAGTTTTTGCAAGTCCTGTATGAAAAGAAGGTTGAGAAGAGTCATGACTCAAAATGGTCCATTCAGCCCGGCGATCTAGTATGGGTTCATGTTCATAAGGCGCGTTTATTCAATAAACGCAAATCAAAGCTACAACCCCGAGACGATGGCCCGTTTGAAGTATTGGCAAGGGTTCACAAAAACTCCTACGTGGTCAATCTTACACGAGGTCTAAAAGTTGCTGCCACATTTCACCGAAGAGATCTTAGCTCGTATGAGGATTTTGAAGATCTTCCGAGTTTGAGGACAAACTCTTTTGAAGACCGGGAGGATGTTATATCTGGGCCTGGCCCTATCATACCCTCCCCCATGTCCCACACCCTTGCAAAGACCAAAGGATGCACGTTCAAACATTATGATCCATTTTAGTGCGAATTCCGAGTCCTTCAACCCGAGCGGATAGAATAACTTTGGGCCAAAGGGTTCCACAAACCGACTCCCACTCCGTCCAACCCAACCCTAAATATCCAAATCCCCTTTCCATTTAATTCATTTCAAAATAAAGTTTTTATTACTCTTATTTTAGCCCCTGGCCGAAAATAAGAGTGTGTAAACCAAAACCTTTTGTTTGTTGTTATTTTCCTTCTTTTAAGCCTTTTAATAAACAAATAAAACCTTCTCTCCCTTCCTCTAAATCCCTGGCCAAATATCCCTCACAATCCCAACACAACATCAACAAAGAGCCAAAAACCATGACCCACCACCAGCCATATATCCTGCCCATGTTCCCTAGCAAATAACCCAAACTTATAAGTCCAA